TTTTGAGTGGCAATTCCTGGTTTCCTTAGTCTAGATAAAATCTTCAACCAACTAGTCAGTTTTGGGAAAAATGATACCCTATTCTAGACCCAAACGCCTATCCTAGAGTAAACTGCTTGAAAACCATACCCTTCACAGCGGCACATACCTATTTAGCCCATATATGGCAGTGCCCCCCTCCCGGGGATTAAATCGTCGCCGAGATTGCTCTCAGGGAATTCCATGAGCTTTTAATCCTACTTCTTTTATTCCGTATGTTCCTATTATCGACCGAACGTCTTCCGAGATAATATGAGATGCGATTAGCGGAGGCTGTTAGAGCTTTTCTTCCTATACTTCGCGGAAAAAGAACAGTGGTCTGTTGTTCTGATAGAAATGGAATGGCGATCACCGGAAAATGCTAATAATGATAAGCCAAATATTTTACGTTGCCTGGCATCTTCGGATACGCAGTTAACTCTTCGCAGAATTGACCTAAGAGATGGTTAAGTAAAGGTTTTGGTCGCTCAGCATTACAAAATCGATTTTTGCTTGTCTGGATTCGTTTACAGATTGTGTGGTTTTTGAGTTGTTTTGGCGTCATACTGATGGGTGTGGACCTGGGACTTGGCATAGGAATAATTTGCGCTTTGTTTGCAGTCGTGCTTACAATGTCCAGGTAAAATATTTACTCATCAATTATTCTCTGTTGTTCTCTACCAATCACTCTTTCACACACGCACGCACGCACGCACGCACCCACACACGCACTCAGTCCGTTCATCCATTCATCTACCGATCAATCAATCAACGATCAATCATTCGATCGATCAATTGAGTAAGTCGTTCAGTGGAAATTGTTTTCTACTGTTTTTATGAACATTTTTCTGTAATATTATGAAATCCGTGAGGTCATCAAGATTAACGTTATTATTATTATAATTTTTATTATTATTATTATCATCATCATTATTATTATTATCATCATTATTATTATTATTATTATTATTATCACTATTTAAATTTTTTCGACAAATGATAATAGACAAATTTATAAGGGTTGTAAAGAATGAGTGTAATTTGTAATTCGTTTGTAAGTTAGTATTTCCCTGAAATATATATTGTCCTAAGAATCATTGTTTACAGTTGTAATTTTTTATAAGCCACTAATAAAGATTATTATTATTATTAAAAATTATTGTTATTATTTTGCTTTTAGGTCGAATCATTTCATACTCGGACACGTGAAAGAAACAGAACTGTACCGTGATATTAAGAAATGTCCATCGGTATGTGCAAGTCGTTTTTGTTTCTTAGTGAATCCTAGCTCCTTGCATAGCTAATACCATATTTATTTGACAATTTTAGTGTAGTTGTTAGACAGGTGGTTTTATTTGAAAGACGCAATATAAAATGTAAAGCAAGCAAAAAAAAAAAAGTCACCAAAAGAAAACCAAAGGAACCTAAAAACTGGTAAAAGAGGACCTCAAGACTGATCATAAGCAAACCTTTTACCGAGAGTTAACCCTTTATGTCCCAATAGTGACCACCATCTAACTTCTCCTTACCAAATCACTTTTTTGTCAGTAATACAGGGCGGGAGAATATAGGAAACGATCATCAGGGATCAAATCAGTTAACGTTAAGTTTATGCAAATTCTCCCTACATGTTGCACGAAGTATGTGAAAAACTGTAAGGAGAATGTACACGTTGATGTTAAAGGTTAAGTTTGACCTATAGGAAAACATATACATCTGTTGGGAAAGTATATAAACCTGTGGCATTGTCTCTTTATAGGCAAGGAACGGTTTCAGCCGATTGCAAATTCTTTGAACGTGTCAATGAAATCCCGTAGAATTAAATGATTTTAAATGATATTTGTCAAAAGGCCGGATCTGTCCAAAAGTTACTGTCTTGTTCCAAAATCTAACCCGGTAGTTGTTAACAGTTTCATAGACTATTAATAATGAATTTTATTTCTTGAAAAATTAGCGCGAGTTCATTCACAAAACACATTCCGTAGTAAAGCTGAACCAAAGCAAACGTCTTAGATTTTCAAAGATTAATTAATTAATTAATTAGTGGCAAGTCTGTCGTCTGTACTTTTATCTAGATTAAATTGTTTCCTAGTTAAAAAGCATTTGATCAATTTCTTCTTAAGGCCACCGAGGTCGCTGGAATAAAGGTGATGCGATTTGAATCGTCTTTGTACTTTGCCAACGTGGAGCGCTTCAGAAAAGCCCTCGTGTCAGTCACTGGGAAAGATCCTTCTATTAAAGAGGAAGAACGCAAAGAGGTGAAACTTGCAAATGGCGACAACGAAGGAACACAAAGAAACCAGAATGCAGGGCAACATGAGATCACATACTCCGGGGTAATATAAAAAATATTAATTCACCAATAAATTTACCACAAAAATCGAAAAATAATAACTTCTACTTTTATATGCTAAAGTTTCAACATCACATGGACACTTGTTCGCGTGGTCACATGGTCACGTGAGCTTAAAATCTGTCACGTCCGGACTAGTCGCCAGTTCCCAAATCGCTGTCAGGTCGGGTCAGTCAATCAAGTCATTGGCTTACTTCCAGCCAGGGAACTAGATTTTTGTGTTCGTTGATCGCTCTCGACATCTGATATTTCATCTTCTTATGGTCATCTGATATGGTAATCAAATCACGACACAAGGTTATATTTTTTAAATATTTTCCCTCCACTCATGTTCAATACACCCAATCCGTAACGGGTCGCAAAAGGGGTGACGGTTCGCGACGGATCGTGACGGTTCGCCAGGTCGTTACGACTCGTCACGAATCGTCACCGACTGTCTCGACCGTCACACCGGAACCCCCTGTGTGAATATTCCTCGTTCTAAAAAAAGCGGCCACAAACATTCGCACAAGTACAAACGGTCACGAATCGGCACCATCCGTCACGGTTGTGACGGGTCGTCGCGATCCGTCCCGATCCGGACGATCCGCCGACATTTTCAGCCCCCTCCATAACACCGCCATGAATATTTTCTAAGTCTCTCGCGACCTGGCAAACGGTCAAGGGTTGTTACCATCCGTCCCGAACGTAACGATCCACCGACATGTCGCAAACTGGTCGCAAACTGACAAACGGTGACGGGCCGTCATGATCCGTCACGGATCGTCACCAGTTTGGCGACCCGTTACGGATCGGGTGTACTAGACAACCCTCAATATTTTTTACGTAAGCATAAGCATAAAAACAAGGAATCTACCAGCCTTAAGCTCTAACTAAAACTGTGATCAGTAGTCGTTCATCTATTACATCCGCCACTTGCTTCTGTTTTCAAGGGTGACTCACCGTTCATTTTCATTCTGATCGTAGAAAATGACTCCTGTGAAAGGAAGCGACCACAAAGCTATGGCAGTCAACGTTGACGAGCCAGATCAACCTGTTCACTTTGTTGTTATTGACGGCAGCAGCTTCACATTCATCGATTCAATGGGTCTGCAAGTTCTACCGACTGTGAGTATTTTAACTTTGCGGGTTCCTTGCCAGAAAGCTGTGGTCTAAAATCACGAAACGAGCGTTTTATTTCCGTATTTCCATAGTAACGAGCGTTTTATTTCCGTTGGATTTTCTACGTTATTTCGATCTTGGACCGCGCGTTAACTGGGACAGATAAGAGCAAAAATTGGCAGTCGGAGGGGAGGGGAGAGTTTCCGCTGTCTTGTCGTCCTCCCCAGCTCCTCCGAACTACTGCTCTCATCTTAGTTTTCTGTGCGGTAGACTGTCAACTGGTAGAAACCCCAACCTCGCAGGCTAATCCAACATTGACAACAAGGATACGCACTTGACATTTTCAGACCCCTAATATTAATAAATGTGCCATCTGCTTTGAAAAGTTGTTCTGTCATGCCGTGCGCCGTTTGCGTCTAAGGAAGCACAGATGATTGTAACTGAAGTAACTGCTATAGTTAGCAGTTTGTTCGGAGAAGTTGACACGGTTTGCCAGCAGTTTTTTGCAAACTTTATTTCTGGCAGCATCAAGGATCACTTCCAAAATAAGCCTAAAACCAAATGAATCTGCTTCGTTTTACTGGTAGAACTGACAGCTTGTATCAAGCCCGGCTCAGTATCTGGCTTTGCAAAAAAAATATATGCGTGTAATGATCAACACCTATGAGTACTTGGAATAGATTTGTTCCTTCTTTATTCCACTCATTCTTTGGCTTGATTCTTAGCTTATCCAAGCATGATGGCAAAAAATAAATCTCCATACTTATTCAAGTGTCCTCAGCCACCCAAATCCTTGTTAAAATTAAACTGGACATATTTTATTTCAGCTTATTAAAGACTACGAAAAACACGGAGTTCGCATTTACTTGGCTGGATGTTCATGTGAGTTTGTTTACAAAGTGTCTGCGTGCCGTAGAAAGTACTTGAGTAACTGGGCGCTATAAATGGACAGCAATCCTTGCTGGCTCATCAGCTTGGCAAGCCCCAAGCTCTAAGCAAAGAACCGAACGCCTCGCGAAGCACTTCCCAATGAGATTGCTACGAGTAGCGTTTCTCAGAACCTGCCCATAGACTATCATTATTAACTGCGTATATCAGTTAAAACAGTCCTCGGCAATACCAATACAAATAGGAAAACCTGGATCCAAAATCTCTGTGGAGCGTTGGAGTTAATGTTCATAGCAAAGTTGTTTAAAACAATAAATGTTTCGCGGGAGCAGATTTCACAACTGAAGTCTTATATATACCACAAGTGAATCGTCTCTTAACAGACCATGTATGAGAAGTTTCTGATTTTTTAATTTGCAGCCTATATAACCAAGATGCTTGTAAGCTCGACTGAAACAGCTGGTGCAAACAAAGTTGACAGTCACGTGATGTTTCCATCCATTCACGATGCTGTTGTATCGGCTGCAGGCTCACGTGGTTTGTCGGTATGTTTAATTTGAAGATATCACAACTGTTTACGACACTAATAATTCGTCTATATTGAATTAGTTTTCGTGGTATGCGGTCTCTTTATTTTAGTTTCTTCTTTCCCTGCAGGCTTTGCAAGACGATTTGGAGAAGGAAAAAAAACGGGGGTGACCGGGTGTGCCTTGTTTCTACTCCGCCGAGCTTCTCTTGTTATCCAGGGCAATCTGAGGGAAAAAGGATTATAAGCATTCTACAGTTGTATCTGATTTCGCTGACAAAATAGGAAAGCCAACGTAAAAATATATTAAACAATCAGATTATGAGCTCGAGAGTTGACCTAGTCAACTATCATGCATAGAAATCGAGAGCGAATAATGTAATTGTTTTAGTTTAAATCTGCTAGTCGTTCAAAACTTTATCTAAATCCTCTTCACAGACGCTTCGAAAACGCCAAGAAGTGGCCGTTATTTTGTTGACAAGGGCACACTGCTACGCTACTATCTATCACAGAATAGATAGTGAGCGTAGCCAATTAGAGAACGGCATTCGTGATAGAACGCTAGTAGATTTATACTATATTCAGTATAAATCTACTAGCGTTCTATCACGAATGCCGTTCTCTGATTGGCTATGCTACCCACTATCTATTCTGCGAAAAATAGTGAGAAGCGCAGCAGTGTGCGCTTGTTAACAAAATGACGGCCGCTTCTTTGTGTTTTCGAGCTGTCCGTGAGGAGGATTTAGAGAAGTTTTGAACAACTAGTAGATTTATACTAAAACAATTAGATTATTCGCTCTCGATTTCTATACGCGATAGGAATCTCGAGCTCATAATTCAATTGTTAAATATATTTAAACGTTATTTTGTTATACTGTAAGACGCATTATTAGATATTAGGAATTGAGTATATTTGTAGTTTTAGGTGACGAATTTTTTACCGTGTTGAAATAAAGATTATGTATGTATGTATTTGATATATGTTATGCTTGCTCAGCCGNAAAAAAAAAAAAAAAAAAAACACTTTTAGGTAGAGCTATATGGTTTCCAGAGATGGAAAGAGGGTATTCCAGTGTTCAGGTCAATGTTACACAACTTTTATAAAGATTTGAATCACCCGAGGTGAGAATGCTTTGCCATCTAAATCGATTTTCTTCAAACAGAAATGGTTGCTATGTTACAGTGAGTAATATATAAAGAGCGTTCAAAAATATCTTTTAGGGGAAATTTCAAGGTAATCAGCCGCAAGGGAAAGATTTTACGGCAATTTGAAAATTAGAAAATTTACCAGGTTTTTTTAAAACCCACTGAAGCGTGACTGGATCGCAAAGTGTTGTAATTTCAACTCAAATCCTTTTAATGCCGACTTCTTCAATTTCAAACAACGATATACATTTCCCCTTTTGAGATTTCCTAGCTAATTTTTGTATGACTTCTTATATTATTCCTCATAAAGGTTCATTGGTCGCCTTTTTAAACGCAGTCTTATAATATTGCAATTACTCTTATTGTTCATTTTCTCACAGATAATTGTTTAGTTATGAATGGAATAAACAATGGCCAATTAACAAATTGACGTCAGTTTTTTACGCGTCTGTCCTCTTATTGATAATAAATTGCGTCATAACATTGTCAAAGTGGCAGTGGAACCACGAGCCGTAGGCGCAATAACAGGACAGACGCATAAAAATCAATTTGCTTTTTTTTTTTTTTACAATAACAAGACCGCAAAATGGTCAAATGCCGGGAATAAATGAGGGGAAAAGACACCGTAAACTTGCCGTCAACACAGATAAGTGAATTTTATTCAAAGCGAACATTGTCAATAGATTTTCTCGCTTTTTGATTGGCTACTTAAAAAAGTCAATAAAATCACATTGGTTAAAAAGTTAACAGTTTGACAGCTGAAAGTTGAACTTGAAAGCTTGCATAAGTTAAAATTTTATCCGTCTGAACTCCTATTGATGAAAAAATGAGCCAATCAGCGCGCGAGAAATTAGACAGTTATTGTAAAATTCCAAATCCAGCTGTTTTTGGAACGATAAAACTATTCCGCCATGAACCGTAAACTACCCATCGATGTTTTCAAGAGCCCAGTATCCACTTCACCACGACATAGTTCCGCAAGTCATGCAAAGAAGCTTTGCAAGGAACTGTGAAATGCTATAGCTCAACGCAGATAATAGGCCCCCTTTTTCTTTAGCTCTCTTCCCCTCTTTTTGTCTAAAAATCTATACCGATGAAATCGGATTTTATACAAACTGGTTGAAACTCTAATATTTGAACAGAATTCCTAACATAAGCAGGACTCAGGGTTTTCCTCAGTTCACTCATCGCACGGCAACATCTCCCCCNNCCCCCCCCCCCCCCCCCAAAAAAAAAAACCATTAAGTCTAGTTTAAAAGGTGCCGTTATTCGAGGGGAAAGGGGCGAAACAGAGGCAATGGAGGGGTATGAGGAACATTTCCTCCTGTAGGCAGATCAGGCAAAGACAAACTTTATAACTGAAAGTATAAGCTCACTTTTTTTAACAGTCACAAGTATCTGAAGAATTTGCTGAAACATTTTCCAATTCGGGAAAAAAATCCTCTCACAGACAGGAGACTCCAGTCGATTGTTTCGGCGTAATTTAGATTACCACCTGTAAGATTAAGAGGTTTAGTCAATAGGACGTACGTATACAAATAATAATTATAAATCTCTTTGTATGGGCGGTTATTGAGTTTTAAAACTGCGAAACAGTCAGAATGGAATTGAAGAATTGAAGTCTGTGGGATCCTGCTGATTTACAAAAATAGCATGCCTATATGTTAGCAACATCTCCAAATTCCAATGCGAGCATGATAGGGGACCCGCGTGAAAACCAGCTAAGGCTGACGTGGCTTCCGCTCTAAATATTTTAATTTGATTTTTGTTGTTGTTTTTGTAGCCATCGATCCGATCAGCCTGTTTTATAGTTCCCTTCGTTCTGACCGCGGAATTCTATACCTAGACGTGAGTCTCCATTCCAGTTCAAACTTAAAATCCTTTTTAGTTTATTACTTTACTACGTACTTTTCAATACATCACTCGTTTGTTTTCATCTATCTATATGTACATTCTTTCTAGTAGCACGGGTTATAACTTTTGTCATAGATTGTTTTCGAATCGAAACTGAACATCCTACCTATTTCTGACTTTCCGCGGGAAATCGGTTATGCTGAAGAATGCTCTGGTCATGACATACAGACCACTGAGGTTGTGACTGGAGAAAAAACAAGTACTGCATTCTTTACTAAACTGAACATACAAACATAAAACAGTGGTCATGGTGCATGGGATCCGGAGAAGATTTTCTCAGGCAGCAAATCTTTGTATTGATTGTTATTTACTTGTTCCTAAAACTCAACAAGCTTATTCGAAGCACATTTTCACAGAGATCTGCAAACAGTCCTGAGCCGAAAATAATGTAATCAGTTTGTCAGCTTTTCGATGCTTTCTTGTGATGTCAACAATCTGGGGATAGTCGTAAGCCCTTACATTCCCTTGTATTGGTCAAACTGTTATTTTCTTGGAAATAATGTCGTATCTGAAAGCCGAAATCCGGCGGCAACAATTTTGAACAACTTCCTTCGCAACAGCTCATCATAAGATGTAAAACCTCTTCCTCAGTTATAGATAAAAAACGGTCAACCGGATATTTTTTTTAGCGGTTTCGATTACTTCTCTCGAATACAATCTACATTTGCTGTTTTCTAAATTCTACCTTACAATACCTGAAGGTATTTGTGTACAGGTATTTCACTATTTTGCCAAGAAAAATGTCAAGTTTCCAAGCCGTATTTTACTGAACGGTCGTCAGCCGTCTATACATACAGTATTAAATCTTCTAGACAAACAAAACAGTAAAAATCTGTGGCTTGCGGCAAGACTGATCTTTTAATTCTCAAGACACAATATGATCAACTCTGTGACTCAAGTGTTATTACTTTGCGACGTAATGGTATGAGTATACAAATTCTAAGCATGTTTTAGAGTCGGAAATCCGAACTGTGTCGCACAAAACTATTCAGGGATCCCTGATCCACACGAGCCTCTGCTACTCGAGGGCTTTTGTCACAAGCAACACGACTTTTTGAAGCATGTTACAGTTAGTGTGCAAATAGGCAGCCGCGCACTAACCTGCGATCAAGCGTTCCTTTCCTTTTTTGGGAGGGGGGGGGGGGAGGGGAAGGGGGAGGGCGGCGAAAAAGTTAAAAAAGAATCACGTCTGGACGTGTCGTCCCGTTCTTTTTGCTTTATTTTGGTATTTCGAGTTAAAACACATCACTTTTCGAACCTTTTTCGGAATTGCTTATTACGATTTGAAATCGACTTCAGCCTCATGAGAGCTATACTCGCTGTGGTAAGGCAGTTTATACATATACAGACAAAGGCCTCAAGACATGTACGATGGAACAGCTGAATACCACTATAAAGAAAAAGAAAAACTCAATTTGACTCTTTGTGCCATACGAGATTCGTTGGGTGAATTTACATAATCAATCCGTTTTTTTTTACAAAATGTTGTGGCTCTGAGCGACCCCTCGCCGGAATTGAAGGTTCTCGGAGTACTTCCGCGATAAAAAGCACCATTTTATGAAATGAGCCATACGACGCACATTAACATTCAGTCAGTCCTATAACTTGTATTTCTCGGTTTTTACAACGCAGCATACTTATCACATGTAACTGGAATGGCATAAATGCGATTAAATAAAATGACGGGAAACATTATTGAGGAAAAGCTGAGTTACGCCCGCTCTTTAGCTAATAGAGCTTAATCTGAACTCCATCAGCTGGAAGGTCTCTCCCATTCAAATGTAACAACAACAACAATTGCAACAATGGGAACACATACAACTATCCAGCTTTTTTCTTTCCTATAAACGTGGAATTGTCAAGACTACAATGTGAAAAGAAATGGTAGGAAATCCGCTTGTAAATTTGTAAGAGGTAGAGATTACATGAGAAGTAGCGTTGCATGACAGCCCCAAAAACGGCTGCGAAGGAGACCATGATATATAGTTTTAAAAGTAAACCAGTATTCATGTAATCTCTACCTCTTACAAATTTACAAAAGCGCCATCGCAAAAATAATGGCGTGTTTGCAGGCGTTCCCTTCCCTCTCCCTTCGATCGTGCTTCGCGCTTTGATCTAGTTTCCCCCTCTCCGTTGCGTTCCCTGTGAACGCCTGCTTGCCTTGCTTTGGTACCCAAATGATTCCCCGTGCACGATGTCGTGCAGCAGCCCCTCCCTTCTATTCTCTCCAATTTTGGTGCTATTCCCGCCCCGGCCCCACCCCTAAACTGACCGAACGCCTGGAAAAAGTTCCATGTAATCTTTACTGTCTCCTTATTAATTTTATTGATTAGGTAATATGTCTAATATCGTCCATGTCGTCTATAAATGAAAATACATCTATCAATAAAACTGTTGTTGAATGTCACCTTCAAATGTGGTGCTGGAGAGGGGATGTTTCTTATTGAAAATTGGGGCGCGGATGACGGAATTTCGTGCGTAAAAGCGCTCGCGAACAAAATCCCGCCGGCTACGACGGGCTGTTAAATATTACTGCGATATTTTCTTTTCTACGCTCCGTTCTTTGCTTGTCGTTCCTTTCACCCCAGAAGCGCTAACATTTACTTTATATATTGAAGCAATCAAGATCAATCAGATCACCTTTGCACGTTCGTAAATAGACTAATGTAATAAATTAATTTGTAACTGACATAATTTTGAAAAGTCGTCAGTGTCATCTCATGTCATTGGTTCATAATCGTGATTATGATGTTGAACAGGATACCGGTACATCAAGAAAAGCTGTGATTGGTCAGTCTCGGCTCAATCAAATGAACCGCGCAAACCGTTGAACGAAATTTATATAAAGCACGCTTCCATCGCGTCGGTCTGCATAAGATCGAGTATTGTCGCGCGCCGTGAGAGAGGCGCCAAGAGTTAACTTTGATCTTTCATACCTCACTGCTCAAAATGTTGTGGAGTCGATTTATTTTCATGTTACTGTTAGCGTTGGTTTCTGCGCGCCCAAGCCCAGAGCTCAGCTTAGAAGAGATAGAAAAAGGTAAGTCGAGCTGTAAAACAGAGCAATACAAAAGCTTAATCTTCTCTTGTGTACACCGGTTTTGTTATCAAGATGTGGGTCTAAAATTCTGCTGAACAATGTCTTCACTGTAACTTTGCCAACGTCTCTTTTCTCTTGATTTTCTGTGTATTGGCGGGATTGAGTACGTGCTGCAATGAAATAATTTCATTTTAAAACGATTCATTCCGATCATACAAGTAAGCACCCGCCTTTTACATTTATTATAGCCCAAACTTTAACGATTTTATAACCAGGCGGGAAAAACAGAAGGCTTTGTTTTTAAGGATATATTAAAAGCAATGTTGGGTCGGGTTAGCTGGCAAGACTCGAAGGGTCCCGCTAGCACAATCCGACCGTTGAGTTATACTATACAGTATTATTATAGTCGACTATACTGCAGAAGACATAGTCGTGGCTTTTATAATTTGAAATGCTGTGGAAGGGGATTTAGTTTCTCCATGAATGTGCAGCAAACATTTTAAGCAAGTCGTTATTTAACGAAGATCTGTACTTCAAACGGAGTAAATCTACAGGACGCCTAAATGTTTTTTCGTTCATTCTTCTGTTGTATCATATTCGCTAGATATGTTGTTGTCTGCTCATGTCACCTTTTGACTTTTTGCGAGGGACGCGGGATACTATTACAGCGTCTGGCGCCCAGCCCCTTGATAGTGATAGGCTCGCGGGAGAAGGCGCGGCACATATTTCTGGAGTCTGTAAAATACCTTTAATCTATCTCTCAGCTTAAATGGAGAATAATTTTGCTTTCTTTATGAAAACTATGCTCACCGCAATGTACGCAAAGTCTTAGTCGCAGAGGCGTGGACATTACTCAAGTAAATATTTATTCTGACGTCAAAAACCTGGCAGTAAAGAGCTTTAGGTGTCTTGAACCAAATACCTACAAACACAAACATATTCCAAATGTTTAAATGGAGTTTTGTTTGTCTCGGCAGTTTCTGGAATTATTAAAGTAGTTGTGCGACTAGTTGTTTAGCCCTTTAAAAAAATTTAAATAACTGTACAGCAAATATTTTTTTGAAGTGGTTGCTATAGTTGCGTTTTGTCGACGTGTGAAGTTCTTCCCTAGGTCTTAAAGGAGCCTTTAAGCTGTTTTCGCCACGTACAAAATCAACTTCAAATTGAGGGAAACCTGAAAATAGCAGTTTACTAAGATCATGTAGGAAAACAGCAAAGAGATAATAATAAGCCATAAAGGAACAAACAGTACACAGATTGCAAACGACAATCTTAACAGATTTAGCCTACACTTTTCAAGATGCGCAAATCGTGACGTAGCTCCTTCGGGTCAACCGATTATGCTTGGACGTGAGAATGCTTCGGAGCGATGTAATAAAACACAAGCTAAAACGATTTTCAGTTATCGCCAAATTAATTCGCTTAATCTGAAAAATTTTAATACGCGCCAAAATAGATGTAGCACACACGCGTCACGGAGCTAGTGATCTCGTCTCATTCCTCGAGTTGCTTCTCCCTAAAATATATAATGAAAGCATTTTCACCAGAAACTCTGTGAGGAAAACTCTTCGTATATGTTCATAGTTTTAATAAACCGGTTTTTGTCTCGGGCAGAGGGGATGTAGACCAAATGATAGGCAAGATTAGACTTATTGCTTTTGAGTTATTTTGTTTAGGTCTCTGTATAGTGAAGGGAAAAAGACGACAAAGAAAATTCAGCTCTCCGTTTTTCCGTGCTTTAGTTCTTCAGTCTGTCTCTTCTTCGGACTCTTCGCGCTCTTGTTTTGAGTGTCGGGGACATTTTTCTCGTTTCTAATTCGGCTTTCGCAACTCGATTTGTGCACATATTAATCTGCCTTTTCTGATTCTTGCACCCAAGAACATCAAGGACAATACCATTGTCAATGGAAACCGAGACTGAAATATTTTCACTCTACTGGACGCCGAAAACGATTCGTGACCTCTTCTCTGATATTGCTCCCCTATTCTTTCGTTCTTCTGCTCAGTTTCGTCTTACTCTGCCTCCTACAAAGCACTATACACTGTAAAGGAGTAAACTGATCGCTTGAACGAGTAATGATATTTCCAAGTAGAAACGTATATGTTGATATGTATGTTTGGCATAGTCAGAGGAAGGAAGGGGTAAACAAATAAATAATAATAAAAAAGTAAGATATATAGCTAAAACCCGAGGAAATAGAAACAGCCACTCGAAGGCATTGGACGTATTATAAATATTGTAATTCTCTTTTCAGAACTTGAACAATTGACTGCCCAGGAAAGTGATTCTTCAGGTAAGTCCAACGTCTATGATCACAACAAACATGCATACAGTCGAACCTCCACTAACGGCCTCCTCTCCACCACACCGGCCACCTCTGTACAACGGCTACTTTTTTTTTGTCCTTGTGGACGGTCCGTACATTTACTCTTATTTAAACCCCTCTACAACGGTAACGGCCACCAAAGCGCGTTCTCAACTTCCAAAAGAAACCTCTCGACAACGGCAAGTTCATCAACAGCTGACAAACGGTATATACAAAACCCCATTTTTTGTTGGAAAAGGCCGCAAAACTTGATGCATACCGCGCGTCGTGTAATTTGTCTCTGTTTCTGTTTGGTTTCTGTTTTATTGATATATTTTGACTATGTAATGTATTTACATGCTACACTATAAGCATTTTTTGAAAAACACCCTCAACGGTGTTATGAAATGCGTTGCTCTCCAGATGCAATACCAGAGAAGTTAAACGCAATGTTATGGGTTTTGATAAATACCTGTTTTTCCTCTCAAAACGTTCATTCGCGGTTCTTTTCAGGGGAGCAGGGATGGCGCAGTGGCGAGAGCGCTCTCCTTCCACCAATGTGTCCCGGATTCGATTCCCGTATGTGGGTTGAGTTTGTTGTTGGTCCTCCACTCTCTTCCGAGAGGTTTTTCTCCGGGTACTCCGGTTTTCCCCTCTCCTCAAAAACCAACATTTCCAAATTCCAATGCGATCCTGGAATGCACGGGCATTTCTGAACGAGTTCTTGTGAACTCCTTGGTACTCCGTGGGTAAACAAATGACACACTTCCATTTTTTTTTTCGAAGACTGTTAATTCACATTTCATCATTGCATAGAAACAAAGAAGACGAGTGACCAGGAGGATTCTTCAAAAAACACACAGCCTGGTAAATTACAAATATCTTTAACTTTTATTTCAGTAACTTTTAATTCTCTTATTAATCTTAATTCCTAATTCGCTTATTGCAATTTAACAACCAACAATGAGTGGCGGAGAGCATAATTCAACATTTTAGTCACCTACAGATTTTCACAAAGTTTACAACTTACTTATTATCTCTTCAGAGGCTCCCAAGGAACTTACAGATAAAGCAAGGGAAGTCTCCTTAGAAAAACTCGAGGCCCTTGAAAAGAGTAAGACAAATTAACCGTTTTGACTTTCTCTTTATGGTACAGTGAAACCTGTATTAAGCGGACACCCTTGGGACCCTCATTAGTGTCCGCTTTATATAGGTTCTAATATGTTGTGCAATAATAGTTAATTATTAACTCTTTTGTAACACATTGTAACACAGTGTGGGGTCAAACACTGCTCGTGGCACAATGTCCAGTCAGTAAATGCATCAATCTGGAATAATCACTTAGCTTTAATACGACATCGCTGAACAATGTTAAAGGAGTCTCAGCTGAACTTTTAGAGGTAAAATGCCCTTGAAGCGTCCGCTTATTGCAGGTTTTGTGCAACAAAATGGCTTCATATTGGTGTTCTCGTCCGCTTAACAGAGCTGTCTGCTGAATGCAGGTTTATTTTACAGTAAATCTGGGAGGAAAATCTAGGGACTCAAGAGGGTGTCCGCTTTATATGGGGTACCAGGTTTCCCTGCATTCAGTTCCACTCGGTTAATTGCTAGGTTACTTGCTCTACTTGACTGTTCCAAACCAGTCGAATGCACCAATAGAATTCTCGTCCTTTCAGGCGTGACAAACACTGAACAAAAAAAAGATGAAACTGAGAGGACAGAAGCCGAAACAGAGAAGAAAACAACAGATAGTAAGAGTTTCTTCGTCAATAACAGGATTTTAACGTACTTTTAGCAGTAAAAGCCCAGTAAGTTTGCTGTTTTTTTCCCGGTTTCTTTCATTAGTTTCTTTTAAGGGCTCTGCGGTGGTTGGACTTGTTTATGTAGGTCAGAAGAAATTCAAATTTGTGGTGCTCGCGTGGCTGTTTTAAAATATTCCACGAATCCAAGCTTCCATGCTCAACCAAGTCTCTGGTGACTACAAACAACTTTCGAGAATTACATCTTCGCACTTCTCATTTTCTCCTATCCCACGCCTTTGAACGCCAGAAACTCGGCTAACCTAACAACTTTCGTTGTATTTTCTGACTTGCATAACCGGCACTGATACCCCCAATAAAATTCGCGTTTCTACAAGTCACAGAGTAAAGTTTAATACGCCTACTAAAAAAATTTAAAAACTATTCTAAGTAGGTTTTGTTTTACAGCCTCTGCAGATGCAGCCATGCTTCCTAAAAAGTCTGCCAAACCAGGTAAGACTGGGACAATTAAACATTTTATTACGGGCAACGCCTTGAATTTCCAGCCGTTTCGTGAGCCCGCGTTCCTTGCTGCACACTACAACCGGACTCCCAAAATGGCTGGAAATCGAAACCTGCTTGAATTCGGAATTCAGCTAAATAATTCATACATCTTGTTAATCATTGCTCGTCATATCTCTCAATAACACTCTGTATTAACTTCTGTGAAGTTCTAGAGTGTAACTAAGCTGTTAAATTAACGGATTTTCTATCTCAGATCAATGCTTTTAACTTTTTTTTCTTTTTATAAACCACTAGTTCCTGAGGAACTTACTTACCGTGACACTACTGACGCTGGTAAGATATGTCTTGGAACGGAAGATATCTGACTCTCTAGACTCAGTTAGTTACAGTTTATTACATCATCAGTTCTTACAAACTCGTTTCCAGGGCTTTTCCCTCCCGCCCCTTCCAATTTCTAAAGGTCTAAGCTCCGCATAGCATTTCTGAAACGTATTCCCTGATTAAAGTTAGCAGATCACCTCAATGACTATTGACTTGTCTGTCTTTTTCACTTATCAGATATTAAAGGCGACTTGTCTACTCGTGGTCTCCCAAAACTAAGTAAGTTATAAAGAGCTCTTTAGTTAGAAGATCAGTAAGCCAGCGGTTGATTAACGTTACGCAAGTTGCTTAGCGACGTGACTTGGTATCTTAGTGACATGACCTGGCACCTTGACGACATGACTTGGTACCTTGGCGACATGACCCGGCACCTTGACGACCTGACTTGGTACCTTGGCGACGTGACCTGGCACCTTGACGACATGACTTGATACCTTAGCGACATGACTTGGTTTCTTCTAAGTTTTCGTCTAACGTACCCTTGTTGGACTCCCAATAAAAATTCCGCAGTTGCCAAGTTTCAAGCGGAGAATGAAATACAAGCGTAACGATATTTAACAAAACAACAACCACGCGCTCGCAATTCAAAAAGAAATTTTAAAGAGTTTATTTCTTGTTTTCATTAACTCCTTGCAGTGATAATAGCCAGTGATAGTCCGAATATTTCATTTTATGCTTTAACAGCGTGTGTAGAACCTACTGTGCTGTGTCCTGTCGTTAAACTACTCAAATCACTGAATTAGCATGTTGAACTGTACGGGAATGTTGATATTTGGTTGCAGGTTTTAAGGACACTGGAGCCTACAGAAGACTTATGGGTGAGTATTTTTCACAAAGTAATAAGCCATAAGTAATTACTGTCATTAAATTTCTGTACTTCCTGGCCCTCAACTTGAATATTTCAACTGTTTCTGCTTCGTGTTCAAATTTTGTAAGAGCTAATTATTTCAGAGGTTAAATTGTCGAAGAACAAAACAAAGGCTTGATTGGTTTTGCCAACTAATCTTTATCGTTCTATTTTCAGAAACTAGGGATCCACGGCTCCCGTCACTTCCTAAATTACGTAAGTAAACGGAATCTAATGTGACTCTTATTAACCGAGCAGGAGGTCTGTATGGGAGAGTCTTGACCGAGGTCAAGATTCTCCCATACAGACCGACTTAGCTCGGTTAATAAGAAGTTTATTATATGGCTAAGAAGAAAACTTTAATTCGTTTAATGTAACTGGTTTGCTGACATTTTGCTTGCAAACGGAGATGAGCTTAACTTAAACCTGCCGAAATTTGCTCGTCCNAGACCGCGGTCAATATCGATCTCAGCCAATCAAATTCGTGAATTCGGTAGTTCCCAGTCCTTGTGAGACACAGCCATATAATAAGTAACATTTTCAAGAACAGATCTGCGTGAGAAAAACTGAAAAGATTCATTATTATTTTATCAACAATGCCAACTTTCGAAAGAGTGGTTTATTGAAAATTTGCGATAGACAAAAGTTGCGAATATCATGTGATGTTTGGCTCCGGGCATCTCAACATGTAAAGTTGTCTTCTCTTCTCAGGTTCTGATGACTATAAGTACGGCTACCCATCTCTCCCTAAACCACGTAAGTACTTTGTGTCTTCTTTAGTTTTCCTTTAGCGACTAAGATCATTAGTAAGAGCGGGTTTTCCTTTAAATGTGTTTACGTTTTTCTCAGGTTTATAACCCCTCCGGCCTTTTTGATGATTCTGTGTGCTTTTCGTTGATTGCATGCTCACACTACTACCGCCGGCTGCCTGTTTTCCATCGCTGGTGTGCTTTCTTCTTTCCTTCCTTCCTTCCTTCCTTCCTTCCTTCCTTCCTTCCTTCCTTCCTTCCTTTCTTTCTTTCTTTCTTGCTTTCTTTCTTTCTTTCTTTCTTTCTTTCTTTCTCTGTTTTTTTTTTTGCTTTCCGTGATTGGTTTATTACACTATTACGGTTGGCGCTCTGGATTTTCCTTTTACATTGCTAACGAAGGACACCACATAGCAATGCACTAGCATTGACTGCAGACGTAATTTTGCGAGCGAGCGCATTTTGCTGAACTTTCTAATATCTTTTTTGTGATAGATTATTTCCCAGAGGCTCCCGCCAGAAGGACATACGGTAAGCAACAGGCAGTATGGCTTTGGCAGGTTATGTGTTGGCTGATTTGTACGACGATTTCAGATTGAAGTTATTCAGCACGTTAATGGTTTTCAATTCTCTATTTTGCAATTGCCCATAATTCACTCTGTTTGACCCCCAAATTTTGCATAAACTATTATTGTGAAATTCTCTTGGGAGATCTGCATATTCTCAAGAGTATTTCGCAACAATAGTTTATACCAAATTTGGGGGGCAAACAAAGTGAATTATTGGCAATTGGAAAATAGAGAATGGTAAATTTGTCTTATGTTTAATATCGCAGGCGGGGACTACAAGTACGGCCTCCCGTCTAAACGTAAACCATGTAAGTAAAGCGCCAACGCACTCAGTACAATTCTTCCCTATAGACCACGTGATCACTTAGAATATATATTTGGACTTAGCATGCGAGTAGACGCACGTATGCGGAGCAAAAGGGGTGAGCTTTCTTGACGCTTCCGCATTAGACTCCTCCCGCCGGGCAGCTACGCTTGTGTGTGTGACTCAAAGATGAGCTTAATGGAAGGTGGCTATGTGTGACCGTATTGATGGCTTGTGTCTTGTCTTTTAACAGATTTCCCTGAAGCTCCTATTAGGAGAACATACGGTAGGCAAAGTTACTTTCTCGTATTACAGCACTAATTTTTAATTGGACTTCTTTCTGGGCTGTTCATTCCGAACAAAAGAAAGCATTGCTACAGACCCCACCCTCTGTCGATCTCAACTCGTGTAAAATTTACTGAAGGCCGTTTTACTACAGTCTCCATTTATGTTTGGTTTCAGAAGGCAGCTACATGTATCGCAAAGCGTATGATGATCCTCCACGTAAGTAAAAAGTCGTTTCTGATTTTCTCAGTGAGAGCGATCGCAGCGTCCCAGCCTGACCAATCAGTGAAAATCGATGAATTGGAAAGCAACTCACAGAAAGGGTGGCATAGAGGTGCAGAACAACGAGTACGGTGCGCGGCAGACCGCGTGGAGTACGAGACGAGCGCGACATGTGGAGCGCGGGCCTCTCTTTTTTTCGGGTACACGTCGCTCGCCCTCGCTCTTCGCGTTGGTGTACCACGCTCTGCTCCGTTAAAACGCCTGTCCGCCTGTCCGCCTGTCCGCCTGTCCGCCTGTCCTTCAGTCTGGAAAGAAATCGCTTTTGACCTCGAGAAAATTAATGCTATCAATGCGGAACGAATAAATAAAAAGAGACTAACATTACATTCTCATGTTGTGTTATGATTGCCTTACTCTTTCGCATTTATTCATTTTTTTATCAGATGATTCATCGTCCTGGAACCGAAGAGGATTTTTACCCAATAGCGACCCAATCGAAGCCTTGAAAAGAGTCCCTTCTGGTAAGACCTTAATCTGAGCTTTTAGCTAATAACGATTTCTTTGGAAAGTTGTT